GAGGAGGAGGATGAGGATGAGGATGAGGATGGAGGGAGGCGGTGGGGCTCTCCCGATGCCGCAGCTCCACCGCGCGGCCCATCCCGGTACCGCGGGTGCATTCCAGGGAGCATCCCCGGGTGCCTCCGTGTTCCCAAACTACGGGAAATGGGGACATAAACACCTGTAGAACACGTCATAACCAGTCTTTAAGGAGTGTTGAGTCTGGATTTGACCAGATCTCCCCTGTGATTCAGAAGCTGGCTCAGCACCCCTACCAGAATCATCCCTAAATGCAGTATAACATTTCTTCTGAAGCTAAATTCACATGAAATTTCCACTTCTCTGCAATTCCTTCACATTTCTTTAATTTTTTTTGGAAAACAAAAAAACTGAAAACAAACAAACAAAACACGAAAACAAAGCAAAACCAACCTATTGGAGGAAAATCAGAGAAGTTTTCCACAGATAGCAATGCAATGCACATGTATTTTCACCACAACCAGATCTTGCATAACCTTTAGAAGGTATTATTCCTGGAAACCTAATTTATGGAACAGCAAATGGCTGGATAGCTGATCCTCAGGGGAGAAAAATGTAACTCCTCACTGACAAGGGTGTGGACAGACCACCAGATTCCTAGTTGATGTTGTTGGGCTGATGACTTTATTAGCAAATATTTTATATAAACCTGGTTTGTGTGTTCCCGGGTAACTATGTTGGGTTTAACAGCTTACATAAACATAACAAGATCTGTTGCATCCCATTATGTCAAAGCATTGAATGAGAAACTGGCAGTAGATCATCCAAAATAATGCAGTTTGACATGTAAGGATTTTTTTCAGCTAACCTAGAAATTCTCTGGTAGGGGGGAGATATGTTTTGTCCCTTAAAATGTGTGATTCTCCACAAATACAGGCTCCAGTGATAGGACATCAGTAGTTAGCCATGTGAGAAATATCCCTTTCTCACTGGTTTTAGTATCTTAATTAAATATATTTGACCAGTGAGGCAAAGGCAGAGCGGCTGAGTGGGCAGACAAAAGTGCTACATGGCAGATTCTTCTTAATGTGGGCCATCACCTCTTGTCATGTGAGCAGGAGCTCCCCTGCCCCACAATCCTGAGTGCTTTGTATGGGATTTCTTATTTGTGCTGTCTCAAACATCATGTGTTTGTGTTCCTCTTCAGATGAACTTTGATTCTGACCCTGCTGAGGGTGCATTGCTTGTTTTGGAAATACTTGCAATACCCTCAGAGTGTTTATTTTCCACCCCAATACATTTCTGCATTCTTGCAAGCTTTCCCTGGTTGTAATGCGATGTTTTGCTGGGAAACAGAGAATACAAAAGAAAACCAGTGCCCCAGTCTCAGGGAAATGTAGCGAAACTATGACAGAAAGTGTTTTATTGGAAACAAGAGAAAGATTTCCAGAGGAATAATAAACAAACAGCTGGTCAGCATCTCTGCAAGACCATCAACTTCAGATGTGTATTTCCTGGAAGGATCAGACTATTTTGTTTAACTCTCTTCCTCTGCCCTCAGCAGGTAGAAGCAGCAGAGGGCAGGTTTAGTGCTAATGTTCCAGGGCAGATAATTAGATATTTAATAAGTGTAGCAGCAATTCAATTTGCATGACCAGATAACCATGTACAGATTGTTCCCAGCAATGGATCTGAAGAGCTGACTTTCTCCAGGTATTTGTTGAAGACCAGCACTTAGACCACACAGTACATAAAGAGTAAGCTCCAAAGGGGCAGCAGCAGGAAAACACTTCTCCCCTGCAGAGCTGTGCAGAATCTGTCTAATGTCAATGTTGACATTTGGGTCTTTTGCCAGGGTAGTGTAGAGTATTAAGAAGGGTCAAGATGAGACGTGTGTGTTCTGAAGCAAGGCCTCCACTCCTCCACCAAGAAATAGAAGTTTCAATAACAGTGACAGAGAACCAGAGAGCAGATCCTTTTGGTATGCATGAAGCCATAGCACCATCAACTTCATGCACATGAGGTAGATGGAAGTGCAGCTACTGAGGTGAGTCTAGGTCCAGGGTCAGACCTGAATCCAACAATAACTGGTTGTGCCACCTCAGAGGGCTGGATAGGAGCCTTGCTGCACTGTCACTCCCCTGACAGTGCTCGAAATTCAGCTTCTCCACCACAGCTAATACCTTTTCCTTTAAAACTACATCTCAGCAGGATACAAGACCTCAGTGCAACCCTAGAAGTAGGACATCCCCTTTGGATAGCTCACAGACTGGTCCAGGGGGACAGCGGGGGACTATGTCCTCCCAGAAGTGCAAGTACAGCTGGCAGAGCTACATAATCTAAGTATTAGATAGTACTGCTTGCAGAGCTGTATAAGACTAAAATGTTGGATAGCACCAGATGCTTTAAATTCTACTTTGTGACCAACAGCAGAAGCAGAAAAATAAGTGTGATGTGAATCAGAGAAGGAGGCTTAGGTAGGAACTTCCTCATCCAAAAGCATGAGGAGACTTTAAGAGCTTGGAGTTGAGAAAAACTGAATGACAGGGCTAGAAATGAGGAGGTTTTACAAAAGATTAGAGAGATGTAGAATCTTATATGACCAACCTAGTCATAGTAAAGCAAGCCATATTCTTTTCAGGTTTATGAAACAGCCAGGGTTTATAACTAAATACCAGTGATGGGCTCTGCAGTGCAGGTGGTGCCTGAGCCTGGAAGAACACAGTGTGCCCAATTACACTTCAGATGAAGCTGCTGCACTGGCAGCTACCACAGCCATTATTTTCTTGCTAAGCTAAACAGGTCAGACATGGACATTCACTGGAATCTCAAAATGCATCAGTTCGGACTTGATTCCAGGGTAAATTGAAGTGTCTTTCTATGGGTGAGGTGTCCTGTTCTAACCTATTTAGGAAGCTGATGACGTACAAGGCTTTATTTAACTTCTCTTGGGGTGTGAGCCCAATAGTTGTGTTTTGTTGTTTGGTTAACATGTTTTTTAGCGTGTGGTGGGCACATTCTACTATAGCTTGACTAGTCGGGGAATGGGGGATACCTGTGACGTGTAATTCCCCATATATTAAAAAATTCTTTTAATGATTGAGAGGTGTAGGCCAGGCCATTGTTGGTTTTCGCGGGTTTGGGGATGCCAAGAATTGACATGGCATACATGAAGTGTTTTCTGACACCTTGAGCCTTTTCTCCTAATTGAGCAGTTGCTGCAATAGCACCAGAACATGTGTCGATAGACACATGAATGTACTTTCATTTCCCAAATGGTGCATAATGTGTTATAGCTGACTGCCAGATGTCTAATGGATTAATTCCATGAGGGTTTACTCCCTCTGGTGGTAGGGGAGTAAGTCTTTGGCAGTCTGGGCATGCAGAGATGATGGTTCTAGCTTGAGAGAGTGTGAGGTCGAATGTTTTTGTGAGGGATTTTATGTTTTGATGAAAGAAGCGGTGAGACAGTTTCGCTTTTTCAAAATTATTTGGGACCACCGCAGTTTGTGCCAGGTGTCCTGTGTCAGCTATTTGATCTGCAACACGGTTTCCTTCTGCAATGGGCCCTGGGAGGAAAGTGTGAGAGCGGATGTGGATTATATGGAATTTGTGTCTGCGCTGACTAATTTCATGCCATAGTGTCTTGAACATGTGAGCTAACTGTAATTGGGAGAGGTCCTTCATGTAAGAGTTTTCAATTCATCGGACCACTCCAATCACATAAGCCGAGTCAGAAACAATATTCAAAGGCTCTGGAAGCAGTTGAAATGCGCGTATTACTGCAGAGAGCTCGGCTACCTGAGAGGAACCTCTTACCCTGTGCGTGTCAAATACCCACTTCCCTGCCTTTTGCCAGGTGACTGCTGCGTTAGACGTTCTCCCAGATCCGTCTGTAAAGCCATTCTAGCATTCCTTAGCGGGAAAGGTGAATAATTCTTTGTTAGTTCTGCTTGGGTGAGAGATAGTAGCTGTAAAAAAGGGATAGGTGGAAAGTGTACTGAAAATTGACCCTTAAAATCAGCAATGGCTAACTGGAAATCGTCACTATGAATCAACAACTGGGTTAGCTGAACAGTAGACAGAGGAACACATATGATTTCTGGATCCCTACCCAACAGTTCCCACAATCGCAGTCTACTTTTGTGACACACCTTGGAGAGCATTTCAGGATATGTCCTAACCGATTTAGAAAGCTGAAAGCTTAGAAAAACCCTGTTATTTTAATCACAAAGTGATGCCTTACTTTCCTCCTGGGTGTTGGCTGTTATGGCTTTCCTCATATCTAATTTTTTTGGTACGTAACTGTTATTTTTTGGCAGATGAAACATGCAATTGCATCCAAATCAGGGCAGTTATTTTGATATAACAAGGTTGCTGACATAAAGTGTGTACATGTGATCAATGACACTGAAAGGCTAACATAATAACAAGCAGGATGAGAACGGCAGAGACTGAGTTTGGTCACTCATTCTTTGAAGATGACAGCTCTAGAGCTAATCTTGAGCAACAACAGCAAAGGTATTCGCACTTAATCTACCAGAAAACATGCAGGCATTAGAGCATGTAAACTGAACTTAGGCATGTAAGCAGGAAGCTTATAACTGGGAACCAATTTCATGACTAAATTTCATTTTCAAGGAAATCAGGATATACTGATTTGTAACACACGTGCACAGGAGCTTGAAAATGCAGAGCAGGTCCAGCTGTTCTTTATAAACACAGAGTGGCCCTTGCTGAAATGATTATGCCTAAAAATAGAATTAAATACATCTGATGAAGGAGAAAATACAGGAATTTGGTTACTTTCCCTCATCTTTTTCTCCAGATGTAGTTTTAAGGAAAGCTTAATTTCCTCAGGCAATATTAAAGCTTAAAAATTTATCTAGAGAGCATGGATGTCTATTTGGAGAGCATATTAATTTGAGCCACCTCTTTTGATGCTGAAGATGATCACAATCTCCTGACTGAGCCACTTGACCACCAGAACAAGTTTTGCACAGTGAAAATGAACAAAGATATGCAAATACAACTTAAAATGAATAGAAACTTGCAAATGCTGCTTTATTTAATTCTTACAATAGGGAGGCACTTTTACATTTAAAAAAAGAAGTGCATTGTAACTACAAAACCCTAAGATATTATTGCATGAAAACAAAGAGAAACAGTCTGTGTGAGAAAGTGATTTTTTTTCTTTCATTTCTATACAGTTTATTACATTTAAACAAACAAAACCTAAAAAACCAACCAAACAACAGCAAAAAAACCCCCAAAACCCCCAACCTTTTCTTCTGTTCCCATGCCAGCATAAGCATTTAGAACATTGCTGACACTTTGCATCCCTCATCTCATACTTCCTGTGTTTGCTGTGCAAGGCAGAGCCTGACCGAAGAGCCTCCCAGAATTAATGGGTGCTGCTGAGATACCATAAACAAAGTGGCCACATTTGATGTCAAAAGTCCCAATTCAGCTCTGCCTTGCTTGCAAAACCTGCTTACTTCAGCCAAGTTATTTTTCGGCTTGGGCCCACGTGAAGAAAGTGTGTGCTGGGATGGTGAGAGAGCAGGGAAGGATATTCTCCTGAAGTTATCTCTCCTCCACGGAGTCAGGAGAAATCAAAGCTTGTTTTACCATCCTAGAAAGGGAAAAAAAGTGGCCAGTAGCCCTGGGGTGTCAGCAGCTACATATGAACCAGTGCTTGGACAGATTCAGAGGCTGTACTGGTGTGAAAGCTGGAGCAAATCCTGTCTTACATGTCACAAGTGGGAAGTGAAGTTTAACAATAACTTCAGACAGAGCAATAATGTTGAAAGATGGGCACAGATTCTGCAATACTGATGTATTAAGGTTAGCATTCCACAATGGAAGAAACCTAACTAATGTCACTCAGAATATCTCTGGAGAAAGGCAACCCTCACAATGAATATTGTCACAATCCATCCTTCTGTACACGTATTTCCACTTCAGTGTCTCAAGTGTGGAAAGCAAACCTCAGGTCAAGAATACTGGCAGATAAATGTCTGGTTGATGGATGAGAGTGCACATCCATAGCTCACAGCAATTCTCTTGCTATTTATTTGGTTTGAGGTTAACAAAACCACTAGGTGAGCTGCACAGGGAGGCTTGTGGTTGTGTGAAAATGAGGTTGGAAGTGGAAAGAACACTCAAAGGATGTTAAAAAAATATTAGGAGTGCCTGAAGTTGGCACACCTGAGGAAAGCAATACTTTTCTAATTACCTGCTGGTATATTAAAGTTGGCTGAGCAGAATATGGCTTTACTTTCTGATGTTACCAGCAAAACTTGGGCTTTTAAGGCTGTCAGAAACACAGCTCCCAAATAAATCTATGCCGGAGCTCTGTGAATGCAAGGTTGACCTAAATAAAGAGAATATGATGGAGCGTCAGACTGTGCTTATGTTGAGAAGTGCTGGATCTGTCCTGAATAGAAGAAATATTTGCCACAATTTCTCAGTTTCACTTGGCAAATTTCAGTTTGATGTCCTGTGATGAAGATTAGAGCTCCTTCCTTCAAGCCACTTCCTCTCCTTTCCAAAACTGCCTAGGTGTATTTTAACCCACTTTAAATTAAATTACCTAACCTGATCCAAAACTCTTAAAAAAAAAAAATCTAAAGCTGGGTTCTAAAGATAGAAGAATTAAAGCTGGCACAGTATAACAAAAGATATTTTCAAAAATTGAGCTACTTAAAGATTTCCATTTTGAAGTTGCTTTACCAGTATAAATACAACTTGTAAACATATTCACAGAGAGCTTGGGCTATGGATTCCAGGATATTTTTTTCCTTTACCAAAAGCTCATATTACAAAACCTGAAGAGATCTTTCTTTGCACATTATGCTCGGAAAAGTTTTGTTTAGATTCCAATACATTGAAATGATTTTCAACTTGTAACTTTGTGATGATACATGAAAAATGAAAAGTAAAATTGTTTCTAAACGGAAATTCCTAAGCTTTCTCTCCAAGCTAAATATGCCAAGGACATAGTATGAACATGGAAGATAAATCTAGCTTTAAGATTTACCACTGATATGAATAAAGGAACATTTTACAGAATTTTCATCTTGATTGTCTCTTTACCTCTGAACAGAGAGGGGATTTTTCTTCCATTCTATATAAAAAGGAGGAAAAACACACTATTTCCCTGGCACATCTTGCATAAAACAATGCAGGCTTTATTATGGCATGAGACTAATTACACAAATTATATCTGAAAGGAAAAAAAAGTTAAATTAAGATCTGAATGGTTACTGCATAATCAGTGGGCACGAGTGAGATCTGATGTCGTTGTGTTTGGAAATGGCTTCATCCAGATCCAGCTGCCTGTTGTTGACCTTCACCTCCATGCAGCCATTATAAAAAGCAGTCACTGGTGTAGCACCCAGAGGAACATCTGCACAAAAGCACATTCAATTTATTAGGCCAAGGCATGCAAATTCATATGTATTTTTCAGATTACAAAAAACACGGGGAATACTCCACTCTCCATTCATTATTTAGACATGGGACTAAATTTAGTCATCAGACAAGAACAATTTGTCAGGAAACACTTTAGTTCTTTCCCCTTTTCTTTAAGATCAAGATAAAGTTAGTAAAGCTGAGAAAGGTCAGTAAAATTTGAAATATCCACTAGAATTCTCATCCAGAAACCAAACTACAGGAATATTCTTCATAGTAGCTTTTCCTGTATTAACAACAGTGAACCAGTGGTTTGTTTCCTGGAGTCTGCTGTTCTTGTCCTGATGCACAAACAGATGTTTATGGGCTTAGAGGTCACAGAAAGAACTGTCTTGCTCTTGCCAGAAAGCTACTCTAGATTCAAAACTGCCAGTTCTCAACTGGGGACCCCTGGGAACCTCACATTTTACTGCTTCCTTACTGCAAATTCAAATTCCCTGTAAAAGACTCACTTTGTCTGCTACTCATTTAGGTGTTGTTTGGCAGCACCAGACTATGGATATGCTTCCAGGAAACAGCATGTTAAGCACAAAATCAAGCAGGCATTACTCTGAGGTCTTAGGGTACAACTGGATTCTTACAAGGTTACAAAGCTTAGAGAACACCTTCATCAATTAGAATGAGGATGACCAGGAGCTGATCTCAAAAGCATCATCTCTTTTTTTTCAGATGTTAATCACCCTATTCCTCCTTAGGAGACAGATTTGATCATCTGAGGAACAAATGTTGCTTCCTTATGATTTTATTTTGCTGTAAGCTGAGGTACTGAACAAATAGTCCTAGGGTTTTTTTTTTTACACCAGTGATGATAACATGTCTGCTGATATAGAACCGTGTAAATCTCATTTAGCCTGCACTGGTTCCACTGAATTAATTAACAGAGGCATATTCCCAACACTTACTAGTTTGAAGAAAGGTGTATCAAAGTGAGGGACTTATGGTCTTCATGAAATGCACAATTTAACCACACAGTTCTGTGCACTGTAGCTCAGTGTGGGGACCCCTGCCTACCTTTTTTATACTGCCCAGTAAGCCCAGAGGCTTTTCAGAGGTGAACCAGAATGAATAAATGCCAGAATGGCTGTACAGAGGGACCTGAACTAGTTTTTCTATACTACTTTTTCCCTCTTTGGTAACAGAGGTTGTTGTGGAAGAGCCTCCTTCACATAACATGAGGGGTTTTGTTGGGTTTTTTTGACACCTTTAAGTAGAAACTTTTTATTGGTACAGAGGGTGGGGTTTTTTTGTTTGTTTTGTTAATTTGCATGTTGAAGATACCTTTTAAAACTGATTACTTTTAAGGAGCAGTAAGTAACTAATACTTGCTTCTTATCTATTTGGGATGGCCCAAACCAAAGATCTTAACTCTTAAGACACCAATTGCTTTGTGGCTGGCAATGTACTAGAAAGAATAATATACATATCCCAAAAATGAAGAGGTCTAAGAAATTACTGGAATCTTAGTTGCTATGGCTCAGTTAACCTCCTGACTCACCTCTACTAAGTGAATACTGACTTCATCTCTCCTTTAAAAGCAGGCAGGTATTACAAAAACACTCCTGTGGTATGTGACAGCGCTGCACCATTAGTGCATTCTTCTCATTCTACACATTACATTTGAATTGAACTCACCTGGTTATCTGGTTTCCAAGATATTGCGGATCCACTCAAAAACAAAATTCAAGGCAAAATTGGTGCCTTGTTACATTCTTGATTACTAGTGTGTGAAGACCTGTATGGCCAGTCTTCACGAGTGAAGATTTGGGAAGGTCATTCCCCTTGGAGCCTGCGCAGTGGATTGTTTAGGTGAGACCCAGTGTGTGCTGAACTGAGCCCACCCTTTCATCCTGAGGTTCATCTGCCGGGGCCGAGCGAGCTCGGACAGTGGCAGTGAGGTCCTCAGGACGTGGGTTTGTTTGGAGTGACCTTCTCTCAGATGGATGGCCCTACAGGGTTGACCAGCTCCATTGTCCGGGGCAGTTTTTCCCTGGCCGGAATCGAACCCGGGGGCCCCGTGAAGACTTGTAGAGAACAATTAAATTACAACACATGGGCCTGGATTTTGAGGGGCCCACCATCTCAGACAGGCCGTGGTACCTGCAATGCTGCCCTGAACACATTCCTTCTATTTTGACATGCAAGTCTGAGGGTGGAACTACAAAAAATACACTACCTTGGAAGAAATGCCTAAAGAGATCATATCTAATGGATAACTCCCTTCCCTCTTCTTACTCCTGCACATCCTTGTCTTCTGCAGAAAAACACGGTGAAAATAAAGATGCTGAGTATCTGGGGCAGTGCTGTAACACTGCAGCCTACATGTAAAATGGATGTCAATTCCAAACATGTTGGTCAAACCCTTGGAATTTTCTTAGGAATTGTGACTCATTCTCCATAAAATAATAGAAGACATGGAAAGGCTCTAACAGTAGTAACATTGTAACCATGGCATCTTTCCTCTGGCAATTTTCAAGTTTCAGTATCTTAGGCTTTGAAAATTCCTCACTTGAGGCAATGCTATTTTACTTCTCGATTCGCCCCGAAGTCAAACTACTTTATAGATAAGCATGTGTACAATTCCTGTACCAAATAATCCTTGTACATGTCTTAAGACTGGCACTACACTTGTAGCTCCCTTTAAACAAAATATCTGTTGTTTCAACACAAAGATTTCCAGTTATCTATTGCCAGAGTTCAATTGTTGAAACCGTATTTCTGACTTCTGCACTTCTGACAGTTAAATTACTGACAAATGCCTGGTTTTCCCACATGCATGATGTAGTCTCTAAATTGTGCCAGCTGGTGGCATTTCAGAAGTATGCAATGCCCATTTCTTCCCAACTCGAAAATGAAGACATTTTCCAAACTAAAAACATCTAAAGAGAAACCCAGGTCTTAAGGGGCCATAAAATGCTACTGTTGAAAAGCAGGTTCCCTTAAAAGCTGGATGAAACAAGAAGCACATCTTTTTTTTTTACAATTGTAGGCTTTTCCTAGCTTGAGTAAAGCTGAATATAAACAGGCTTGTACAAATAAACAAATTAATGAAAACAAACAGAATTTACCTGGCAGCCCACCCAAGTAAGTGACAACATTTGCCATCATGGCTTGATTCAGGACAGACAGGTGCTCTGAATTGCTTCTGTCTGTGTGTGAATCCACAGACAGTTCAAGTTCCTGTTTGGTTACTAAAAGTCCAACCTGCACCTTTCTGGGGGTACACAACTTCTTTGATTCCAGGTGTGCAACAGTGATGTTTCCAATGGTCACAGTGATTTTCTAAAGAGAAGAAGGGTAGATCACAAAAGATGTCACATTTAACTTTAACACATACTTATACTTTGTTCTGGTGCACTTTATATTTGACAGTAGAAGAACAGGAAATATTAGACCCACCTATTAAAAACTGGTATCCTCACCTGGAAAAGTTACCAAAGTTGATGTGTTTGATCACTTTTGGTGATAAATGCCATTCTTAAATTTTTAAGTGAGAATGTTCACTGTAAAACATCTTTGGCCATGGTTCTGAGGTGAAATCCCGTTTCACTTACAGGCAGAAGTAGTACCACTACAGTTCTAAAGGTAACCAAGTGTTCACCATAGGCTCTTATTTAGGGCAGAAGCATGGATTAGCCATGGAATATAATCATGATCTAGCTTGGGATGTTCAAGGGACAGCTCTAGATGATGTAAATGGCTGTCAATGGAAACTTAAGGACAACAAAATCTGTTTATGAATTCAAACTAACACGATGCCATTACTATATCATCATCATTCTGCTACTGTTATATTCCCCTTTCTGCTTTGTGCCTTTGGAAGGAAAGGCTAAAGAAGGAAAGATTAAAGAAATCATGATGTAAGGGATCTTACATAATATTACATAATCTAATGTAGCGGACATAATTAATACAATTATATTTTCATTAACAGAATATATTAATACACATCAATCAGTCATTAATAGAAATATATATTCTGATAGAAATATATTTTCTGCACATCGCTATATGATATAAATCCTTTTCAAAATATTAAGTCAGGCTACCATGCAAGTATATGTGAGTGGCTTTTGTAGCTTGATTTTTCACAAATGGGGCAGTAATTTCAGTGAGACAAAACCGAGATGTGAGACTTATATGCAACTAATTGCTATGATAATTGTAAGATCACCTGTGAGTCAGAGGAGTTAGAGTCCACTATGGACAATGCAAGAGGCACTGTTTCATTACAAACCAAGGCAAACATAACACCAGTGTCTGTGGATGAGCGAATACTCAGAGTCACATTTATTAGCCAATCTTCAGCACTGTCAAGGTTATCTGTTTTAAAAAGAATAACAGAAATTAATAAATCCATCTGGTAATGAAAAATGAATACAGTGCTAAAAATTAGTATTTAATCTCCTGCTCGGTATGGAAAAATTAGTATTAATCTCGAGAAAAAAAACCAGTGAACTTTGGAACTTATAGAAAGAACTGTAAGTCTAAAGAAACCCAAGCAAAAAAAAAAAAAAACAAAACAAAACCCACCTAACTTTTAATCCTGGATCTTCTGTGCTTATGAAATTTTGGAGTGTTTGTTTTGGGTTTTTTTTTTTGCTACCTTCTCCATTCTAACACGGAACGTAACAGGTGCCACGTTCATTAGAGGTCAGTTCAAAATTAAATCCAAAAAAACAATTTACCCATAAACTACAGCCAAGAAAAACTGGCAGTTCTCACACCCTTTTACATTTACAACTCGGGTGGCATAGGAAACTGATATAAGTTGGTTGGAAGCACAGAATATAAAATGCTGGAGAAATCTTGTAAAGTGTGCTAGGGAATTTAAAACTGTGAGAGAACAGCAAGTTCTGGGATGAAAACTATTGGGGCTGAAGGGTAGCACACCATTTGGGATGGGAAAGAGCATAATGACAACAGGATTTGGGACAACGCCCAAGAGATTTGGGCTTTCAAGTGTGCACAAGGAGATTCTGGCTTGCAAATTTTAAAGTTAAGGCAGGAAGTCAGGTAAGGAAGTTCTGGGTTCAGGAAGGAGCAAGAGATGCACTTACAGTCTCAAGACAGGATGTTTGTTGAGGAGCAAAACTGCATATACAAATCTGTCAGTGATCCTTTTCTAGATCTCCAACTTTTTGTTTTCCCCACTGATGAAGAGGGGACAGAATTAAATCTTTGTAAAGTGAATGTGTTGTTCAACAGTGTCCATCCTTTGCAAATAAAGAATATGCTCCTGAATGTAAAGCACTCCAGAAATTGAATAAATGACACTACTGGGATCAGAATGCTCATTCAAGCAAATTTCTAACAGAAGCTAAGGGAATCATTGGTGGATGCAGTGGTGTTTAGCTTAGTTTGTGTGTCCTTTCTTATTTTCTTTCTTTTAACAATTCAGCAGTTCCATTACTAGCCCAGCAAAACAAATATAAGGAGAGAAAAATACTCACTATAGTTTATCTGAAATGCTGCCATTCCAGTGCCAGGGTAGAAGGATCCTCTCCCCACTGATACTAAACAGTGTTTGCTTTGTTTTTCTTGAATAACTTCTTTTACACCTGAATGTCCCTGATTCATCAGGTTCCAGGCACGAATACAGCCATCTAACCGAGGGTTAATCTGTAGAAGAATTGCAGCATTAGGTGTTTGCCTTCCAAGTTGTTTTAAAAATGTTAAAAATAAGGCATTATTTTACATATCAACTTACTTCTGTGTAGTTAGTAATAGTCTTATCAATGCCATAGGCTATAGCACTGATGCTGGGAGAAAACAAAAGGCATGCTTTTAGTATCTGAGCCTTCCAAAGGTATTTTTGATTTACCATTTCCCACTTTGATGCCAGTGATCTGTACAAAAATAGACTCCTTCAACTTTTAAAGCTCATGTTGTGACCTGAACAAAAGGCTGGAAGCTTTTCTGTAGCTGAAAGACAATGATCACTAGCACTGTTACTTGTTTGAAGTTTCATCTTTTTCTTATACCAAAACACAAAGAAATTTCTGGAATTGCTCTCTATTGGATAAGGGGATGTCATTGTATTGTTTCATACTTTTTCTTTCTGCCTGACTTTTGAGTAAAAATAGTTTTTTTTTAAATAAATAAAAAGGTGTACAGTTCCCTTTTGCCTCTGTTTAGATTGCCAACTAGTTTGAGGGCTCCTGGACTGCAAGGCAGACAGTTGCAACTTGATTGAACCCATCCCCAGCACGAGCTGTTGAGGTTAGAAGACTGAAAGAATCATAGGGCTTCACCAGCCTGGGCTATTATAAAACCCAGTAAAAATGAAAGCTCGTTGTGCTGCCTGCACAGTAAATTCTGCACCCACTCAGAGCCTACCAAAAGCCAGCACCATAAACATGAATCACTACAAAATGCCCTCTCAGCAGAAGTGGTGGTGATTTAGGAAATCTTAAAGCTTCATTAGGAAACAGGTTACAGAATCCTGAAAGATTAGACCAAAAGCTCTGTGTTTTTACAACTGAAACTTACTGAGGACAGAACACAAAGCTCTTATTTTCAAAACAGTGGTTCAATAACCAGATTTTCATTTCCTAAATGGGTTCCATGCCAAACTTGCTTCCTCTGTGACTCTTAAGTAAACAATACAAAACTGAACAAACAGAACAGTATCAATCAATATTAGTCTTGTCATTTTAGTTACCTGCTTAACAAGAGCATTGCCCACTTTGCGAGGTAATCCTGCAATGTACACCTTAGTTTCCAGGAAACCCTGGGACTGTTTAAAAAGAGTTCCTGGGCTGTTAATACTCATCACAGCTTCTTTAGCTATTTTTACACTGATGCTGTGCTCCAGTTCTTCAACTGATATCTAGAATAAGATACAAATAATTAGACATATACACACAAAAAAATGTAGCTATTTATAGATAGAGTAAGTGAGCCACGCCTTTCATCTCAGAGAGGAAGGCTTGAAGAACAAAATGGATTTTGGTCTAGCAAATGTAAAACTTGCTCTATACACAAAGTATCTAATAACTATGAACTTGACCATGCAATCACACTTTTCAATATTCTGCCACTTCCTTTTTCATATTTAAAAAGAATAATTGCTATGTTGACAGCTTGTGGTGATTGTCCCTTTCTTGATTGTAAATAGGCAACACAATTTCCTGATGTAAGGCATTCTTGGGCATTTCTTGGTTGATTTTTAAATCTAGGGTGTGAGTGCATGTTTTTTAGTCTTTTATTGATTGCTTAGTTTCTCCCTACTTTACTTATAAACACAGAATATTTCCATAGTGGGTTAAAGGAAGGAAAGGGGAAAAGAAAACCCAACTTACTATATGCCACAGTCCATCATTAATGGCTTTGCCTCCACTGGTGACTTTTGTTCCAAATTCATTCTTGAACTGAACTTCAATCTTCCCATCACGAAGAGCCAGCAATATCCATGCTGAATTGTCAAGGGATTCAGCATACAGGATAACTCCCTCTGCATCATATGTCCGAAAATCAAACTCTGCTGTAAACCTGAGTTGTGAAGAAGGAATCTTAATAAGAAGACAGGAAACATGAAATACTGTACAGCCCACAATAACCCATTACCAGGGTTAAAAAAAGTTCACAGATATTAACCTTTTGGTATCTCTGCAGCTGAGGAGTTGTGATATTTGCACAGAATTAGTCAAAAGCAGAGTGTAATGTGAGCCTTGTTCACCCGAATCCAGTGAAAAGTTTCCAGATTAACAGGCTGAGCTGGGATTTGAAAGAACCTTGGTTCAGTTCCCAAATCCACTATGAGCTTTACATGTGAAGGATATCCCACTCTCTTGAATAAGATGGATGTAATATTCCCACTGTGTTTTGTGGGGATGTGATGCAGACAAAATATAAGAGCAATGATGTGCTTCAGTACAAGGGTTGCCAAGTGTTGTCCTACAACGATTGTAAACTGGCAATTTGCTTTGGTTATGCTGCCTTTTATATGCTATTCTCTAATTTTTGAGGGTTTGTTATCTGGATCTTGGCAGAACGTGTATATGTAGCAAAATGAGAGTTTGCATTATAGAACCTGTACAGTGCAAGAGAAGAGAGTAGAAGTATAGTAAAAAACTGTATCTCCTGAAGCTTTGGGAATGGATAAAATAGATTAAAGATGAAAGGGGAAAGCAAAGCATTTGGAAGTCAGGACTTGCTGAAAGCATCTGTAATCAATTTGGGTGGCTTTCACTCGCAGTGCTGTTCCTTGTCCACCAGATGGAGCTGCCCCACCAGACCCGCACCGAGAACCGTCGTGTATTTACACAGACATTAGTAGGACACCTTCAAACATCTATCACCTCAGAAAGGTCTTTCAGGACAGCATTAATGCCTGGCCAACCTGGAACAGCGGCACAGGAAAAAGTTCTCAGTATTTATGTCCTTCTGTAAGGCTCTGGGGATCACCAGCTCAACAGCTGCTGCTGCTGTTACCTTCAAATTGTTCTGTCAGGAAGTCAAGCTGCAATTTCAGCTGCTGCAGCAGAGAAGTCCACAAGTAATAAAGGGGTCACCCGCACTAACAATTGCTCTGACAGCTGTAAAGAAAATCTCTAGACAAGGTGCTGTCCTTGGAACACACTGCAAAAGGAAGCACTGGCTTGGTTTTGTTTCTCAGCAGTATATGCAGAGCGTGCCACAGCTTCTACCCAGAGCAGATGTGAAGTAGCAGCAACATCCAAACTGAAGGCATTCCCATATACAACTAGGAGCTGTACAGTATTTATTTTCCTATAATCTCTGAATTTTCTGTTGATAATTTTAAATGCCTTCCTGTATCTGTATCACCACCTCCCTCCTTCCCCAGCCCCTGCTGTTTCCTCCAGAGGAAGCTTCTGTCATGAGAAAGCCACAATCTTTTTGCTCTCTTCTCCACAAACCAAGAGGACCCACTGCCTATTAAACTAACTGCCCTCAATCCTCTTCCCTTTTCACCACTCAGTTCTGGATCTCAGTGGGCTCCTTTTCCCAGCCCATACCCTCTCCCTTACAGCAGCACTGGTAATGGGGACTGTAGTTGCCTGAAGACTCCAACTTAGTTATTCACAGCCATCCGCAGGAACCCGGGTTAATTCATTCTTCATACAAAGGTATCTCAGCCACTGTGCAGGGGGCGATATAATTTATGCATGCAATGCACTCTTTCTAAACCCTTAATGAACACAGATGGCCATAATTTCAATGCACACTTTTATAAACAATAATGCTTACCTTGTGACATTTGGCAATTTAAACTTTAAGTAGAGGACAGGAATTCCTATGAATTGCTCTGCCAGATAAAGCAGTTCATAATTCTTTTCGAGGTTCAGTGGGATACACTCAGTAATAGACTGAAAATGGCAGAGAAAAAAAACTGTTAATGCATTGTGATAGCTTATGAAGCAACTCCTGTTGGCTTCTGGCCTGTACTTTTTTAAAGAATGGCTTACCTCTAGTTTTTTGGGCTTTTTAAAACTTGAATACCTATGTACAAATGAAGTGGTGTGGTTTTGCTTTTGCTTGAAATGTCCATTATTTAAACTGCTGGAAGATAACACAGGTTGGAACACAGTTCTGGTGGATCAAAACTACTATTTAAATATTTAGTATTTTAATTAAGAATTCAAATCTTCCATAAGGTGCTTTCCTTTCATCAGGGATGTCTGACACCCACATACTGGGGGTCCTGCCAAGCTCCATTATTGAAGTTCTGTAGAATCTAAACCTGATCAGGTGTTAGAAGGGAATGGGTCAGAGCTGTGTCTTGAGAAGATTGCATTAAAAAATTAATAGGTGATTTTATTTTCTTTATCAATACTGATTTACAGCTACTCATAGCTGAATGATCTCTAGTACTACTAGAATCATTTACCTGGAATAAAAAGTAACAATTTACAAGTGGATTAAATAACAGATTAAAAGAAAATGTTTCTATCTTGACTGTTCCTTGAATGTACTTGTCCTATTTGAGCTCTGGAAAGGAATGTTGACAAAAGCAACACCACAATTCCTACTGAATAGCACTGAATTAATATTTCTGAGGATTGATAGTGGGACTATGAACCTCTTAAGACTACATTATCAGGGAAAGTGTAAAAAATTCTACGTATTTGTGGCAACTACAAACAGTACGTAAAACTGGGATTAATCCTAATGCTCTTGCCAAAGTCAATGTGAGTAATCATAGTTGCAATGGCAGGGGGGAAATTGTGCTTATTCCTTCAGGTATTCATCCACTTGATGTTTTAAACGAAGATGTTTCTATTCAGGAATAATATCTATTTTGTGTGGTGCAAGTTTAAACTAGGAAAATATTCAGTAAAGAAATGTCAGGTATCCATTCTAAGGCACTATTGACTTATCTTCTGAAAGTGTAATTTTGTACTTAAGTAATATGTACGATTTCATTTAAAAGTAAAACACTGATTCCTTCAGGTTCAGGAAATTAGGCTGTGTGTGTGGAGAGAGGTGGGAAGACTGTCCCAGAATGGGGTTTAAAGTACCTGCCTCACTGAGGAGTCTAAAAAAGTCTCATAGTAGGAGTCTAAAAGTCATCTGGATCTAACCTTATCCCTAAAAACAGCCCATGACTGTCTTCTATATGATGGCAGAATAGTAGTACTACAGAACAGAATGATCAAGAATAGGTGTGAGAACTTTTCTGTTCTCAAGAAATGCTGTACTCCTGTAAAAGTTATCGATGCAGTTCCCAAACTTTGACTTCTGTATTTCCAATGCAGCAGTTCCATTAAACGTAGAGGTGCTCATCTTGAATTTTATGGTTACTTCATTTTAAGCCTGCCGGTATCACTAGTCTTTAGACTGCATTTATTTTCAGCTGATTAAACTTTTTCTTTTTCCCCAATTAAAAGGCATGAAATTAACTTCCAGATAGAGAATTAATCACATTTGAACTACAGTATTAAAAATAAGAGCATCTACCAGCCTCATTACATGTTACCATTTCAAGGAGGAGCAAAATGAAATATAATTACTGCCAAGTGTTGTTCAGATACTAAACTTCAGAAAGTACAAACAAGATCTAACACACAGATGTCAGAACTCGTGTCAGATCTTTTTCCTGAAGTTCAATCCAAATTTTGTTAGACTCTGTTAGAGGTGGTTTTTTTGTTGGCACTTGTCATGTGATTTCCCTTCACATAACAAGTCTCAGCCTGCCTGCACCTTTCAAAGTATACAGAGAACACAAAAAAATCCTTGGACTTGAATCCTTGAATTCTGATCCTCTGGAGTTTCAAAGTTTCTGCTACTAAGAAGTGTAAATTTTCAAACTGAGCAAGAACAGCCACTTTTGGCTGCAGGATGTTCTTCGATTGGCTATGGCAGATGAGAACTGTGGAAAACAACCCAGTGCGGTTTTTTTTTCAATCCAAACAGGCAAAGCATAGAGTAATTCTGAAATAGTGAAGGAAAACTTCTGTGAAGTCTAAGGAAAACTTGGGAACATATGGACAAATTGAACATTCTGTCTCGGAGCAGGCTGAACAGAAATTACTCGTTTGAGAGGAGAAAGCTGAGGCTTATTTTGGAAGCAGCAGAGAATAAAGATGACTGGCTAAGGCAAGTTTCTTTTGACAGGACTCCTGTAAATGAGCATTTATGAACTGAATGGCATCCAAATCCCTACCAGGCCTGCTTTGTGAGCCAAACCATAGATCAGAATCTCCAGTAATTTTTAATCTGTTCTCAAATAGCTTCCCATTTGCCTTAATCTAATTTATCCTGTCATCAAGAAATACCCAATTTTGTGATTTCCCACATGGAATTTTGCATAGCACAGTCTTACCTCACAATTCTTCGTGTCCTTGGAGAGCTTGAACCCTTTCTTGCCATCACAATAGCAGCTGTAACTTCCTGGAGAGTTTACACAGAGTTGAGCACAAATATTTTCAGCACATTCATCAATATCTAGGAGAAATGAAAGCATACAGGAAGACTTATCCATGGCATAGACTGATAAACTAACATAAATTAGTGGAATAATGGACAAAATAGGTTCTCTGGAATAACAGGAATCCAATAGGTGACTGCTGCTAGGCTAAACTAATGCTCATGGCTATCTCCTCTGTAAAATTTACAATCCAGAATTACCTGCTGGGTGCATAAGACTTGCTGATCTGACAGAGCCCTGGTGTGGAGAACTGGAGACAGTTTTGCCTGACTTGTGAGGCACTAAGAAGCTGAGCTGTAATGTGGCTGAAGTAGTGAAAGAGACCTCATAAATGACCACCACATATGGCAGAAATGCCATTCTGGGGCAGATCTCTTCCTTTCCCTATAAGACATCAGGAGAGCTTAGATTTAATATTAAGAGCATATATGGCAAGTATGTGAAGAAAGGACCTGCTTTATTGATATAAAACCAAAATAATCTCAGGGCAAAATACCTTTTAAAATAAAATACAATCATCTCATAAATAGCTGAGTTTCAAACAGCATCTGCTTGTGGAGACAATAGTCTGATTTGAACTGCAAATAAGCTACATCAACTCAAGGAACTTCATTTTCTATTTAGCAGGTTGTACACAACAAATAACTTTAAAATGAAAGGCTGTGTAAAAGGCCAATGTAACTTTTACAGTTCTAATATAAAAACAAACAAAATCTCTCCTTGACAAGAGACTCTAATGAGGGGGATTTGGAGCCTCAGATTGAAGTAACTGCAACATTTGTCTTGAAACAAACGGCCCACCTAGTGGGAATAAACAATTTTGTACCAATGCATGCATTTAAACCTGTTTTATACTATGCTGGGATTTTTTTAAATATTAAATTATTTTTCCTGTTGCTTGGAGGAAGAGAGAGGAAATATGGTGATGCATGGATATGGGGAGGCAGGATTTTGTGTGCATTAGACAACTCATGTGGGAAGAGAAAACCTTCATCCTTTAGGAGATGAGTTCACTTCTCCTGACTGCAAGATAGACCCCTCTAGCACAATAAGTGTACTTACTAATTTCCATTACCTATTTTTTTTGGCAGGGTGTTTGAACTTGCAAAAGTGAGAAAAAGATAATCAAATTATGCGTCTAAAATTGTATGGCTACTATGAAACAAAAAACTGTTCAGATATTTTCCACTCATATGTCTCCCATCTCCAGCAGGCATGAAGAACTGCAGCAACATTCTCCCAGGAATGGGTGAGGAAAAAAAGACAACAAACCCTTTTCTGTTCCAGTCTAATAGAATCTGTCATCACAGAGATAGGTGTGCCTAAATGTATGTAAATTCACTTTTTCTAATAACCAGAATTGAATTTGGCCACCTACACACAATATGACAATGAAAAGCTAATGTCACTTAGCATTCCTGTCAGTCTGAACAATCCTGTCCTCAGAAAGGATTTGGTGACTCATTCAATGTGGTTACAACAGGGTCTAAAAGCTTAGCAGCATAATCTCCTTCTAGGAGGTGAGACTTCTCATTGTAACATCCTCATCTTGCAACCTCCTGGAATCCACGTTCCACTAGAAAAGCAATACTTACATGGGTTGCATCAAATTGAATTTATCTGAAGAAAATACTGAGAGAAGAGAGAATCAGACTAAGAAGTTTTTCTCACTTTGGTGCACACGGGAACATAAAATTGTCAGTAGCATTTTAATCCCATAGTAACTGGCCAAAGAGCTGACAAGAAACCTGCATGAAAAGTCATGGAGCAAAAGATTCATGGCCAGTAAGACGCTACTTCTGTGTCCTTTCGAGCAGTAACATACAGGTAGCATCTAAAATACAAAAACCAGTCATTGATATATTTTTCTCAAACTGGCAATGTAGACAACTCCTCTTCATTGTAAAACTCTAAGAGCTTTCATAGCTGTCCTACAACTGAAATTTAATTTCTGATGTGTACTGAACAAAACCTTTAACAAACAGAGAGAAATAAAACACACTCTAAAACAATTATGCAAATACTTTCAACACTTCAGATGTTATTTTATTATGGTCTGTGTATGAATGGCTTCTTCCTACTTGGCTATCAATATTTTTCAACTTTGCTGAAATTGCTACAGAACTTTGTCTGGAAATTTTTAATTACAGATTTTCATTTCAGGAAAGATGCTTTTGGTGCAGCTCTTTTCTTTTCATAGCTCTTTTTTTTTTATATTTAAGAACAGTTTTATTTTAAATGTTTAGAGTTTATAAAAAAATCGTTTAGAGAACTGCCATGCTGTCATTTCCAGCCTAGAATGGAGATCAGTTCACTGTAATACTGTTATTTTCTAACATAAGCAGATACTTCTGGGAAGGATTAGATGATTGTTACATAAAATGGAATTCAGGGACCTCAGTGAAATGGTCTTTCCAATATCTGAGATCTAAGGACATATAAAGGATAAAGACTGAGCTCCTGGCCATGAGGATTAAATAAGCACCTAAACAGACTGATAAAAACAATCTCTGTAGTTTCTTGAGACAGCTTGATTAAGCACAGTTTGCACTTCTGGTGATTATCTCCTGATAAATCTCCCTAACTTGCCAAATAAGTATTTTTAATTGCTTTTACTATAGCTTGTCTTGAGTTAGGGATATTTATTGACTGATATCAAATATTCCATCCTTATAACTGCAATTTTCAGCATGATGCTCCAAAGGGCCACGGCAGACCTCGAGGATCAGGACGGTACCTACATTTGATACCGTACTGATGGAAGCCTTTTCAACCCAAGGTGACTGAAGGCCCACACCAAGACCTTAAACCATCTTGTCCAGGAGCTGCTTTATGCTGATGACGCCGC